CACACACACACACACACACACACACACACACACACACACACACACACCTTCAACCTTAGGTACTTTCATTTCATTCTGTTCTTAGTAGCTCTGGGGGCAACTCCAGTGAGATCCAATATTAAGGCTCAATTAAAATAAGCTCCAATTAGTGGAGCTTTTTTCTCTGAGGCTAGAGAAGTCAGGAAATGGATATTGGGAAATGTAAAAAGTCAGCTACTGAGAGGAGGCTGCAGACATAAATGAACTTATTTGTTGATTTCTACAGTTGCTATGCAGAGGCCTCTGGGAGTAAAAGCTTAACCAGTCTAAGCTATAAACTAAAACCCCTGCAGCTAAACATGAACTGTGTGAAACAAGGGCTCCATTCCAGAACAGAAAACTGCTGGGCCCAGAAAATTAAAAGCCAGAGGCACTTTCCATTTAAAACTAAATCCCAGTACCGCCTCCCAGCCAAAGAATTATAAGCAGTATCAGATTTACAAAACGAACAATTACCCTGGAAAAATGTAGCCTATTGTACAGTCCCAGATGCTAAATCTCAAAAGTTTCTTTCTTTCTTTCTTTTAATCCCACACTATATTCCTCCAAGTATATGGTTGCAGTTTACAAAGGAGCCATTTCCAGACAGGCCTAAGCCTTGAAAATACATTTTAAAAGGAGAGCACACAGCTCACTGACCTCATTTGAAGTACTGCCCTTGCCTTCAGCAGTTCCTGTCCTTCCCTAAGGCTTTTGCAAATGGTATGCAACAGTAAAATAAACCCTGACCTAATTGCCAAGAGAGAGGCTGCCAACCTTCCCTCAAACACAAAGACCAGAATGGTTACTTGAAAGTCCTACCTCTTTGGCTTTCTGTTTTAATCTCAGCTGTTCTGGATCTTCTTTATTGGAGCGGCTCTGTCAAAGGAAAAGAAAATTTTATTAGAAATCATCTAAACACAGGCATTGCTGTTAAATATTTAATAAATGATGATTTCTCCTGTGATTGAAAACCCTAGCTCCAGGGGTAATGCCTCGATCTAGTCTAGCTGCACTCCAGCCCTCGGCCCCTCCTCCTCGTCATCTGGGCAGGCTGCTGCAGTTCTAGCCTGGAGGAAACACATACTGAAAATGATGCTAACAATGTCAGTCAGGTCCAGTCAAGGCATGACATTGTTCTTGCTGGAACATGGTAAAATGAAAACTGGGCTGAACAGAAGAAGAAAAGGAAAAGAAGTGTGGGCTCAAATGAATGAAAACAAACATCACTGCCTCATCTTTTGAAGATAAAGCAATTTTGAAGGTGAAGCTATTTTGGAAAAGCATATGGTATTTTAACAATTATTAAAAATCAAGAATTTACATAGCCTTTAACCTAATCTCTTAAAAAGAGCAATTTCTGAAACAAATAAACACTTCCAATATTTTTATTAAAGTTTTAGGTCCTCTATTGCACTTAATAAAATATTACTAATACTGCTATATGCTATAAAAATGTGATAAAATGAGTATGAGGAACATGGTAGGTATAGAAATCTGAATAACAGTAAACAGGCAATCACATCAAGATATTAGGGAAGAACATTCAAACATAAGACACAGTAAATATCAAAGCCTTAAAATGACAGCAAGTCTGAGAACAGAGAGGAAAACCATGTCTTTGAAGCACACAGAAAATCTGAACGAGAAAAATGAGGTAAAGTTTTGTCTTAACAATCAGCCACTGGAGGAAGACTATTATTGCAGAGCACAAGAATGAAAGATCATTGGAGCAACACTTCAGAAAGGGGCTCCACCAGGCTTACAAAAGACTTAAGGCACACGTGTCCACATAATGATGAGACTACTCTCAAGCAATTGCTATGAACAGAGGATGACTGAGAGAATAATAGAAGCCTAAAACAGCAGTATAGCAAAGATGACAACGACAAATAGGTTCAAATCCCATTTTGAAAATGAAGTCAAGACCTGTGGTGCACTAGATATAGGGTGCAAACTAAAGATGAAAAAAGGATAATATCTAGATTCTGGCTTAAGCAACTGAGAAGAATTTTAAGTTTCCATAGGGGAAGATCTAATACAGAGTACACATCCAGGAAGAAGTAATTCACTTGTTAGTTTTAGAAGCCAACTCAAAGGTTTAATATCCTAAGATACACACAAGTTTGGAACAGATACTTTAGTGTGATGAGTGGAATAAGTGAAGGAGCATCATGAGGTGAACTCAGAGTCAGGTACTAGATAAAGGTCTTTTGAAGTCTTGTGTGAAGTTTAAATAAGTACAACCAATAAGAAATCACTAAACACTATGTTTTGTTTTTGTGACCCAGTCTATCCTTTATTCCTGGCTGTCCTGGAACTCACTGCGTAGCCTAGGCTGGCCTCAAACTCAGAGATCCTCTTCCTCTGTCTCCCAAGTGCTGGGATTAAAGATATGAGCTACCACGCCCTGCAAGGCCATGCATTTTTATTACAAAAATGATTCTAATGAATAGATGAGGAAGGAAAAAGAAATCAGTTAGACGATATTAAAATCCAAGGAAAAGATGCCTTGAACTACAGTGGTGACAATGTGATGAAAAGATGGATAGTATTTACTACACCAAGAAAGTACATTGGGTGAGGTTATGGAGGAGAAACAAGGAAGGTAAAGATAACATCTAGGTTTTTTCCTTGAACTTGCAGTAAATTAATATGTCATTTATTGAGTGAGAAAAAGCCATATTAAAGGAGAAAAAAAAATCAGAAGTCTGTTTGGACATACACAATTTGAAAGTCCTATTGGTCAGAAAAGTGATAGCCAGCAAGTAGTCAATTGTACATACCAAGAGTTTCAGAATGTAGGCTGCGCTGGAAGTACAATCTGAGAAGAGCACAAAGACAGAAAAGGCATAGGACTAAAAGTAAGGTCATCCAAATATCTATAACTCTGTCTTAAAAAGTAAGAAGAAAAGTCAAAGAGACCGAGAGCCAGTATAATATCTTTTATAAATAATAACTAGGCTAATATTTAATAGTTTATAACTTTTTTATTTTTTTTAGTTTATAACTTTTATTTCATAGTAAGTAGAAACAAAGAACCAGTAAACTACCTTGTTACTGTAGCTGAATTCTTGATAATATTTCAAACTCAGGAATACTTCCTGTCCCATCTCCCAGCCCTTCCCAGAACAGGGGTCAGTGTTAGGAATGGGAAAACAAGGCAGCAATGTCATGGTACCCACATCCTTGTGCGGGTTTGGGATGTCTCAGTGAGACACAGGCCAGTGGGTGTAATGACAAGGAACATGGCCAATAAAACTGGCATGATCAGCCAAGCTGGTAACATCTGAATCTCACTAATCAAATATATACATTGATTGAGGACATAAGCCAAGGATAATAATAGAAGCAAACTTCCTTACTCCTGGAGAAAAAAAAAATTCTGTAATTATTTGGAGGAGGGAGGGAGAGAGGAAAAATGAATAAACGAATGAATGAATGAATGAATGTATATATACATGAAGACCATTGAACAAGTGTACAGTTCAGAGAACAACTTATGGGAGTTGGGTTTATCCTAAAACCATGTAGAACGCAGGGACTAAACTCAGGTCATCAGATTTAGCAGCAAGTACTCATACACCCTGAGCCATGTTGCAAGTAAGAGAAAGGTTCTATAAAGTGGATAACTTATGGATATAAAGAATGAGATACAGGACTAAAGTTAGAGGTATCCGTATGAACTCATGATTCTATACACATAGAAAACATTGTAGATATTTGTATGAGAAAGTATATACACATCATACAAATATTTCCTATAGTTATCCACTAAATATCCTGTATGTAATGACACTGTTAAGCAATGGACACAGTGTATGCTCTAATATTGGCCTCTGACCAGCATCTTCAAGTAAAAAGAAGCAGAATTCCCTATAGAAATGGCTGATTCAACCAGGTGTAGTGACGCACACCTGTAATCCCAGCACTCAGGGAGTCAGAGGCAGATGGATATCTGTGAGATCAAGGCCAAAGTGAGTTGAGGACAGACAAACCTACACAGAGAAACCCTGTCTAGAAAAACCTGGGGGGGGGGGGGGAGAAGATGGCTGATTTCAGGATAATGGCAGGAAGAGTAAATCTCAGACCTGGAATATCATAATCCAAATGTAGGATGTTCAGTGAGAACGTGACAAGAACTTTTTTGTGGTACCTAGGCATTAACAGCTTAAAAGGAAGAATCTAGGTCATTGCTCCACCTGTCTTTTCTCTTAATCCCTTTTTCTAAGGTCTTTCCACCAATTTATGTTTTTTTTTTCTCATATACTCCAAATTATTCCTAATTTTACCACAATCTTCCTGTCTTTTAAAAATTGTTAACTTCAACTAGGTATATACCAAATAGTGTCTTAAAAAAGTATAAGATTTTTATAAAGGTCTAACCTGGGAGGAGAGGCACGTGTATAGGAATGACATCAGGTACATCAGAATATAGGGGAGGAAACAAAAGATTAACTCATTAATTAGAAGTTATCATACCACACCATTTTGGTTGTAAGACACTGTATTAGTAATTTTGTTTTAGAAAATTCAAGAGAAATCTAAAGGTTTAACAAAAGCAAGACTGTCAATGACAAAGACAACTATGATCACATTGCCAGGCCACATTCCTGAAAATCTTACAGTGCTTTACCTTGGCTGCCCTTAGTAACATTTCTCTTTCTTCTAAATCCTTCCTCTGTTTCTCCAATTGATCTAGCTTTTCGAGAAATTTGAGCTGTGATCTGGTGTCAGTAGACAAGACGTAATTTTCACTTCCCTAGAGGGAAAAAGTCTTATGATTATGGACAATACATTTTGCATTAGGCATTATGATAAACAATATGAAAGAGAATAATTTCAACACAAACTAGATTTTTCAGAAGACAGTATTTTTTATTCTGTTCAACAAATAAGCAAATAAAAGTCAGAAACTTTAATCAACCTTAAAATTTGAAAGAAAGATTTACTTAGCAAGCCTATTCAGAAACAGGGAAAATAATTAAGTCAAACAGATCCTAACAATAGGAAAAAGAACCCAGTAGAATATACCATTACCTATAATTCAATCTCCGTTAGTCAAATTATTTTCTATCTCAATAGACATAAATATAAGTAATTAAATCTTAGATAAAAAGCAAGAAATAAAATTACCTCGCTGAAAAGAACAGCTAGGGGAAAAAGGCCACAATGGATGGTTAGATTGGCTTACTTCTAACAAACTAAAACACTTCTAAAAATAGAACATAAAATGGGAAACATTAAACTCAAGAAGGCCTGGTTTAGAGTCCCCTTACAAAGTCTCAATTTAGACAGAAACCTTACTCAAAATAACTCTGTAATTTATTTATTTATCAATTATCTATTTATAACCAGATTCTCACTATACAGACCTGGCTTCCCTAGAACTTGAGATCATTCAGCTTCAGTCTCTCAAGTAGAGAGAAAGCATATAATCTACAAATGAGAGCTGTAATAAAAAACTATAATTTCTTATATGAAGAATTCCATAAAATGACAACATTCAAACAATCTCATTTATCCTGGTATGCTAGATTACAAAAACAGTGTTCTTCAATGTGAGCATTTTCTAGTTTTCTTTACCTGTGGCTACCTAGCTCCCTCTATAATATATGTATTTGTGTATGTAGTCAGTTGTGGGAAAAGCAGAAAGGTTTTGCCCAAGCAGCACTTAACCTATCATCTACTCATCTCAGCAGTCAACACCTGGGATAGACTTATACAGCCAAAAATAACTAAACATTGAGCACAACACGAGTGCCTAGCTTAGAACCCAGCACAGCACTTACTCCCATCTCCATCTTCATTTTATCCTTGTGATTATGGCTGCTTCAATTAACTTAGACTAAGAAATTTCATATGCCCAAGATTCTTTTTAAATTAAATTTTTATTGTTGGTATTTAACTAGATCAAAAGAGTATTACATGGTTTAAGAAAGAAGGATGTATTAGTGCTACTTATTTTACTTCAAGCTTAATACAAGAATTCCCAAATGGTCTTTAAAGTTAAATAATACAAGATAAAATGTGGAATATATTATGGGCCAAACATAGAGGTTAAGCATAGTAACAGTGGTTTCTTAAATACTACATCTTTACCAGTGTGTTCCGAAACTCTGGAGACAGTTTACAGACAGAAATTTAATTTAAAAGGGACAGTGAGCATTAATTTAAAAAGAATCTTAACCATATCACTTATCATGCTGTTTCCTTTACTAATTCAGATACAACTGCCTATGAAATAGTTTTTCCTTCCTTTCATACTGCAAATAAGTGCCTTTCCCTAACCTACTGAACCTCTACCACCTTTGTTAAATAACAGATAATCCCAATATTATCATATTCCTTTCTGTCTCTGTTGAGCAACTAAAGTCTTCATGTATCGGAAGTATGAAAGTCACTAGATATCCAGACTTGGTGGCGGCTCTTCCAGAGGACCCTGGCTCAATTCCCAGCATCCACATGACGGCTCACAACTTTCTGTAAGTTTCAGTGAATCCAACTACCTTACACAGACATAAATGTAGGCCAAACTCCAAACGTACATAAAAATAAAAATTTTTTTTAAAACTGTGAAACTTTTACTTTTAACGGTGGCTTTTTTTTTTTTTTTTTTTGCAAAGTAGAATTACTTTATTGTATAGATAAAACTAAACCCCAAGAGATAGAAGGACCAGGCTTAATCTTTGATATAAATACTATTACAATTAAAGTCTATAAAATAATGGTAATTTTGAATTAAATGGTTATTATTTCTACTTACAGAAAGATAATTTTTGTCTTTCTATATAACATTCAGACAGCAATACTGGATAAATCAATAGTAAGTATATAATGCAATGGTTCGCAAAATGTAGGTCACAACCCCTTTGGGAGGGGTGTCAAGTGATCCTTTCACAGGAGACACATATCAGATATCCTATGTATCAGATATTTACATTATGATTCATAAATAGTTACAAAATCACAGTTATGAAGTGGCAATGTAACAATTTTATGGTTGCAGTCATCACAATATGCTGCAAACAAATGGTGGGAACTAGAAAAGATAATCTTGAGTGAGGTATCGCAAAAACAATAAGACACACAGGGTATATACTCACTCATAAGTAGATATTAGACATATAATATAGGATAAACATACTAAGATCTGTACAAGCTAAGTAAGGAGACCCTGGGCAAGATGATCAATCCTCACTCAGAAAGGCAAACGGGACAGAAATCAGAAGAGGGAGAAAACAGGAAACAGGACAGGAGCCTACCATAGAGAGCCTTTGAAAGACTCTACACAGCAGTGTATCAAAGCAGATGCTGAGGCTCATAATGAAACTTTGGGCACAGTGCAGGGAATCTTATGAAAGAAGGGGGAGATAGAAAAGACCTGGAGAGGACAGGAGCTCCACAAGGAGAGCAACAGAACCAAAAAAAATCTGGGTCCAGGTCTTTTCTGAGACTGATACTCCAACCAAGGACCTTTCATGGACATAACCTAGAACCCCTGCACAGATGTAGCCCATGGCAACTCAGTATCCAAGTGAGTTACCTAGTAATGGAAACAGGGACTGTCTTTGACATGAACTCAGTGGCAGGCTCTTTGATCACCTCCCCCTGATGGGGGAGCAGCCTTACCAGGCTACAGAGGAAGACAATGCAGCCAGTCCTGATGAGACCTGATAGGCTAGGGTTAGGAGGAAGGGGAGGACTGGGGCAGAGGCATGGGAGGAGATGAGGGAGGGAGGGTAGGATGGAAAGGGAATCAGGGAGGGGGCTACAGCTGGGATACAAAGTGAATAAACTGTAATTAATATAAAAAAATTAAAAAACTGTATTAAGGGATCACAGGATTAGGAAAGTTGAGAAACAGAAAGTTAAGGTGGTTAATTTTTTTTTCCCTTAAGATAGGACTTTTTTGTGTAGCCTTGGCTGTCCTGGACTCACTTTATAGACCAGGCTGGCCTTTGAACTCAAGAGATTTGCCTGCTTCTGCCTCCCTGAGTGCTGGGATTACTTACAGGTATGCTCTAGTGGGCCCAGCAAGGTCTCATAAACTAAGAGATTAAAGTTTTCGAGGTGGGATAAATACTACCCATTTTCTTAGGGCTATCAAATTCAAGTAGCACATGCTATTGATACAATAGGAAGATTCTATCTGAAGGCTTTGACTGGCACATTAACATGAAATATTTTGGGAGTATTTTCTTGGGGTCAGCACACAGAAGCTGTGGTTTATAGCAGGCCAAGGCTGTATTTCATGCTGACAGCCAAACCTAGTAATGTGTAAGAGTCAGGCATGAAGAGGTCATGGAGTTACAAAGCTATATAAAATGGGCTAGAGTCGCTGAAAAAAAAAAAAAAAAAAAAGGCCAGGAGAGGCCACTAATAAAGATATAGTCTCAGTTGAAGTGAGATCCCAAGATTGAAGGGGATGAGCACTACTGATACCATATGATAAAATCAAAATCCCTGAGGAGAGCCATAAGGTCACTGATTAAGGTGCTGACCGTGGAGACCTCAACCTTTGGGAGATGCCAGGACCATGAAAGACAACAAAGAACAGAAGCAGCTGTGGAGCAGAACTGGTCTGAGACTATAACACAAATTGTCTGTACTGTAGATGGTAGAGCTGGAGAACAAAACACTGTGGAACCCAGAAGATGTCAGACACCAGTTATGTATACTTAATAAGCCTGAGCTTTGCTTTGATTGTAACTGTACTCTGGTCCTTTTCTTTTAAAGATAACTTATTTTTATGTTACAGGAGCCTACAGTTGAGAGACTTTAGACTTTTAAAGAAAAGTTAGACTTTTGAGTAATAGGCTCTTTTAAACACTGTACAACTTTTTATGTTAATGTTTTATGATTTGCATGAGATGAAACCCATATCCAACACTGCTTGGGAAACCAAGAACCAGAGACTAGATAGCCCAAAGGCCTAGGGTAAAACCAAATACTACTGACTGAAGTAATAAACTTGACTCCTAATGATATTCTGCTATACTTACAGATCAGTGGCTTGTTTAGCTATCATCAGAGAAGCTTCTTCTTGAAGCAAATGGAAACAAATACTGAGACCCACAGCCAAACTCTTATGGGAAGAGTATAAGAACCAGAGGGAATAAATAGGGAACACTAAGAAAACTAGGCTCCCTAAAAATCAACATGACCAAAGCTAATATGAACTCACAGAGACTGAAGCAGCAAGTATAGGGCCTGCACAGGTCTGTACCAGGTCCTCTGCGCATATATTATGGCTTCCAGTTTGTGGTTTTAGGGATTCCTGTGCCTTCTCTTGGGCTCTTTTTCTTCTGTTTGTCTGTCCTGTCCAACTCTAATGTGATGGTTTATTTTTTGTCTTATATTTTATTTTGTTATATTTTATTATCATCTCTTAGAAGCCTAAAATATGAGAAAAGATATTACAAAGGAAGTTTGGCTGTTATGACAATATTAAACAAGATAGACTAAGCCAAAATCTATGAATATAAAAAAGTTAGGTGTGAAGGCATGCACCTGTAACCCTAGGTAAGACTCAGGCAAGATATCGTTTGAATCCAGGAGTCCAAGGCCTACTTGAGTCACACAGGGAGTTAAGTAGTTCTTAACTGGAGACATGGAGAAGAATGGGATGATATATATTAATAAAAGGGCTAAGATTGCATTATTCAATGGCCCATGGTTGCCTGCTTGGTCACAAGCCAATTATGCTAATGGAAGGAGCTAGAACAGACCCTAGGAAATATCAGGACACTAGCTTCCCCTCTTATTCTCTTTTGCTTACTAGCTATCTTGAGCTCAACAGCTTTGCTTAACCAGAAACGCTAACGCCATGAGGCATCACCAACAGCAATGAGTCAAACCATCCATGGACTAGAACCTCCAAACCAATTAGCCAGAAGTTTTTCTTTATTTTAGGCTAATTAGCTTAGGAATTGTTTTAATAACAGAAATATGATAAAGTTATATAAATCCAACATACAGCAAACCTTGTTACAACTTTTTGTTTGGTATCAGAGATTAAACCTAGTGCCTCATATACCCATCTTCTATTGCTGAACTAAAACAGTGTTAAGAATTTAATACCCTGTTTCAATATCATATTGAATATAGACAGTCAACAACAGCAAAACAACAACAAAAAACAGATGGCAACATTATAAGCCAGCTAGATAACAATCATGTATCAATATAACACACAAGACCAAAACCAGACATATTCTATTCAAGTGCCATGTGGAACATTCTTTAGGAAAGACCATATTTTCATTTCAGTGAGTTGAAATTCATTTCAAACTCATTTCAATGAATTTAATTTGAATCATATGAACTTTCTTCTCTTATCACAAAGAAGCGAAACTTGAAAAAAACTTGAAAAATTCACAAAAACATGGAAATTTAACAATCTATACTGAACTGGTGAGTCAAAGGGGGGAAAGACAAATCAAAAGATGACATCTCCAAAATGTACAAAATGCAGTGATCTCTCATATGCTCAAAGGCATAGCAATAACCGTCTATCCAGAAGAGAAAGAGCTCAAATAAACACCTTGATTACACAACTTGCAGAATTAAAAAAGGAACAAACTAAACCCAAAGCTAGTAGAACAAAGCAAACAATAAAGACCCAAACAGAGATAAATAAAATTGAGAACACACAAGTAAAGTCAATGAAATAAAAAATTTCCTGGTTCTTTGTTTTGACTAACAAAATAGTGAAGTCATTAGCTAGAGTAACAAAGAAAAAAGGGAAGACACAAATAAGAATCAGGAAAAAAAATGTAATTACCACTACCAATTGAACTGACAGTAATATGATATAAACTACAAAAGTGAACAAATTCCTAGACTCACATAAAATGGAATACTAAAACTTTTTCCACAACATTTTTCCCAAAAAATTTTTTTGATGTTTTTTTCCCATATTCTTTAGGTCAGTCTGACAAATTCTCACAAAGATTTTGAAAGTAAGAACCTGAACAGCTAGAACTTCGTTTGAAGTTCTACATCAAGTAGAAATGAGATGATCCTCCAGCAAGCTTACTAGGGAGACAGCAGAAGATACTCTGATTTCTTTTAAGCTACATAGTTAGGTAGTTTGGCAATGAATGACCCTTAATGCAAATTTAAAACCTCATGAAGTCACCTATTTACCAATATGTTGGAAATCTAGCTCTCAACACTTTTTAAATAAGGAAGAGGGTTATTCCTTTTCATCCCATTATCTTTTCTTAAAATCCAGTCATTCAGTGTATCTGCTGGCCTCTGAAACTTCAATTCACTACTGATTTATTGTCAAGAAACAATAAAAACTACAACTCAAATACAGTAAATGCTTACATTTTGTTACAACACTAGGAACTAGACAAGCTCTTCATTTAGTCTTTCAAAACAGCATCCAAGAACAGTAATGTCTGACACCAGTTATCAGCTTTTATTACCATCATATAACTAAAAGGCATATGGCTGCTAACAGAGTCCAGACCACCAAAGAGAACACTCCCAACCAATATTCCATTCTAACCAACCTTCTTCAGAATCAAGCCCTGAGGAGGAGCCTCAGACAAAACAGGTGTATATTCCAATCTACAACAACAAACTTACTTTGAACACTACTTCAAATCCTGTTCTAATTTGATTTACTATGAAAGTGTATCTAAGCAAAGCAATTAAGGAAACTGGTTTCCTATCAACAACATGAAATATAAGTCTCAACCATTCAAAAAACAGATCCATATATGGACCCTTGTCCATGAAACTACCTTTAACAGTGCTCAGGAGAGAAGTCTGTACTTCCTTAATGATTTCCTTTACCTTATAAATAGTCATTCGATGCTGAGCAATTGTAGTCAGTTTCTCTAGAAGGCCTCGTAATCTCTCCTGTGTTGCATGGGAGATCAAGATCACAGCATCAGAGTTAAGTTCTGTAATGTCATGCTTTTTACCTGTAGAGGCAGAGAAAATCCATTACATGTTTTAGTAGTGGCTTATAATTGAAATAATTAGCACAGCAGGTATTCAGTTCCCCCTGGAAGTCATACCCATTATGAATAAAGGTTTGGAGATTATGATTTTCCTGGTAAAGTCACAACTTCAAAGATCTTAGACATTACATTAATAAAACCTAGCCTGAAGCCTCAGAAAATATAGACATTGTTTCCCTTAGCCTCTAGAATCATTCTCCCTGCAAGGTCATTTATAGGACAAAGTTAATAAGAACACAAATCAAGTTTAGTGTTCAGGGAGGAAAATGGTAACTGCAGAAATTAGTGCTATATTTTGTTAATTTTAGTAATTAAAAAAGTGGAAAGTCACATTTTACCCTGTTTGACACTGCTAACAATTCATGACATTTACTTCAGTGAACTAAAATTATAAATCTGTTAATTCCTTGTCTATAAAACATACCTACATTCTTTTTGTCTGTTACCAATTATATTTTGCACTACTCATGTTTTCATTAATTAACCTGTTAAATTACAAGCTGAAATATGCTCTAAAACTCATCATTTCACCATCAATTTCAACAGCTTGTGTCTTTTTTGAACAAATTGTTTTAGCCTGGTGGTGGTAATAAGGAAGAAAATTTGAGGAAAAAAATTAAATGACAAACACAAGAGCAGTAGTTCTATCAGTATTCAAACTGTTTCTTAGGGAGAGTGGAACTGCATGCATCAATAGACACGCAAACCTAAAGATACAGGTAGTCAAGTAATCTAAGGCAGATGTACTTCTAAAGACTTGTGTACGTGTGTGTATTGTACATGTATGTGTGTGTATTCATATATGTGTTGTGTACTGAGAATCCAGTCCTCATACTTGAATGGCAAGTATTTTATCCACTGAGCCATTTATCTCCAGGATTCTGTGGCTGTTTTAAAACACATTTATATATATCTTCACAGTAATTTAAAAATATTGTTTGACTGTTGTATGCTAATTTATATAATACATACTCATATTCTCAAAGGCTGAATTACAGCAAAAACATAATTACAACTCAAAATTAGTTTGACATTACCACATAGCAAATTTTAATTTAAAATGTAACCTATACAGTCAACTAAATAGGGAGAAGACTTAAAATTATCCAACTTCTTTTAAACTAACCCCTCAAAATGTAATTCATTACTTTGTGGCAAACTCATTCCTAATTTTTAACTGAAACAGGGGAAAAAGAAAAATCCATTACAAATTCATAACTTCTTTAAAATGCTCAGCAGAAACAATTAGTTGGGCCTTCTATACAGGGAACAATAACATTTTAAAACAATCCAATGATTAAGATTATATGTGAATATGCGTTCGAGAGATGGATTAGTAGTTAAGAGCACACCCTGTTTTTCTAGAAGGCCTGAATTCAATTTCTAGCACCCTTGTCACAACCTGTAACTCCAGCTCCAGGGATTGATTGTTCTGGCCTTCATGTGTACCAGCACTCACATGCAAATCTCTCTTACAAATTTTAAAAATAAACATAAGTTGCAACTAGACATAGGATAGGTTGTAGAAATCCTGCAGCTTTGGAGCTATAGGACCAGCCTTTTTATATGTTCCAGCAGCTCACACCAACGCCAACTCTACTGTGCTGCTTAGCTGAGGTGCAGGGTGTGCTACATCTTCCAAAGGACTGGGCTAGCTCTCCTGTCACATCCTTGGGGCAGTTCACCCATACCTTTGCAATCAAGCAAGTGGCAGGGCCTACTTTCCCAAGTGCTGCAGCCAGCAAGAGATAGGGCCAGCTCTCCCACCTGCCACGGGTGATAAGAGGCAGTGGGTAAGGCATCTCTCCCTAGCCCATACCACCTCTCAGAACATGAGTGTTGGGGATACCTTTCCCATGGCCTTGGGGCCGGCTAGCCAGTGCCTTCACCATCAGGGCCAACTGTACTGTGTGCCCAGCTGAGGCATAGAACCTGCTCTCTGCTGCAGCTGGTGAGGGGCAGGGAAGGGCATAATTTGTATTTTTTTTAAAAAAAAGCCTACAGTTAATATCTATTTGGTAAAAAAAAAAAAAGTCATTTTATTATAAATAGAAAATATATCTATAATTAAATTAACATTCACTCCTTGGCTTTCTCCTTTAATGTTAGATAATTCAGAGATTTTTTTGCATTTACATTTTGTATTATATTGTTTGTGTTTCATTAAGAACTGAAAACAGAAATAGTTCCTCAAATTCTCCTAAAATAGAGGCTGCCAAACTACAGCCAATGGGTCAAAACTCATCTCTCTTTCTAAGCACAAAGTTTTATAGAACTCCAACCACATGGACTAAAAGTTTATGTCTCCTCAAATGCATGCAGAAATCTGGTTCATGATTCAGTTAGGGTAACTGGACTGGAGACTTGGGTATAATTAAGTCATAAAAAATAAGGTAAGAGTAGACCAGATGAGGGAACAACATTAAGAGAGCTGTCTAAGGACCACGAAGAAGGCCCTGGCCAAAAATCCTAGTAAGAACCTACATCTGACTCCCCTACTCCAGAACAGTGACAGGTATCATTGAAGCTTTCTAGTGTACGGTATTTTGTTACAGAAGCCAGAGCCCAATAACATACATTCCTGCTCAGTTGTTCATATGGTGTTCGTGTTTACTTTTGGTCTGGACCAAGAAAGTTGAGCAGCTGTGGCCCAAAGTGGCCCTATCACCTGGATCTATGTGGGAAAAAGTTGCCGATTACTATCTTTTTAAAACTGTCTTCAAAGCTTAAGAAAACAATCATATAGGGATCAAAATATGGCCCGGTAGTTAGGAACACATACTCCAATTGCAGAGGATCCACAGTGAGCTCCAAACACACCATTGTAAAGACCACAATCACCTGTAACTCAAAATCCCCAATCTGTCTTGTTACATTAATATGGGGTCTCATAGTCTTTCATATACTGAAATTTGGCTCCAAATAATGAGTACATTCACTTCCATTTTCTTTCATTTACTGCAGTCATCTAAAACCCATTATGTACCAGTATTCTAGCTCAGCTTTCTTCTACAGTAAGAGTGAAAATAAATTTTAGGGTTGCTATAAGGAAAAAGGCATCAGGTCTCACTAACCTGTCCTTTGTACACATACATTTCTAAGGACCAACAAGGAATAAATTTTTAAAAAGTAGTACACATTAAATATTCATACAAAATATGTATCTCTATTACTCTATCATAAAAATGAATCATTGAGTTATATTATATACCCCAGACACAAAAGATTATACTAATGGTTTTTTAAATAAAATGCTTCATTCTGTAATACTCAGGAAATATTAGAATATTTCTGGAGCTTTTTCTAAGCTTTAGAATTTCAGGCCATCTCTTTAAATAACATTTCCTCTCAACAAATATTCTTACCAGGTGAGTAATGAGGATTCTGTACTTACCAATGTCTAAAATTTTCTTTTGTAGAGCTCCAATGAAGAGAAATGGTTCTTCTTTACATGACTGAATGAGTGTGCCAACAAAGTCAGAATGTGTTGCTAAGATACAGGCATTTTCTTCATCGAGGTTGACTCCTGCCATGCAAGTCACATCATTGATGTCATCTTCACCTCTAAAGGGAGAAAAAGTTAGTTTTGGTGTGTTGTGTGTGTGCATGCACTCGCCTCATACAAGTACAGGCATGTATATACATGATTTCAGAGTGCAAAGAAACATAGGTCTTAACCAAGTATGGCAGTGCCCACTGTAATCCCAGTATTTGGGAAGCAGAGGCAGGAGAAACAGTATAAAAGGTCATCCTTGGCTACAATAGCCAGTTCAAGGTCAGCCTGCTGCATGGGGAAAATAAAAACAAAAACAAAACAGAAGCCAGACCTTTCCCATAAATAATAAAATTATTTTATTGAGTTTACTCAAAGAAGTGAATTGAAGAATGCCTATCTTTCTCCTTAAGCTTTTAAAATTAAACTGGCATCACTAAGCACAAGAGTATGTTTCCTGGAAGAGAAATCAGAACCTCCTGTGTGTTCCAGAGCTTATCTTTTCCTCTCTGGTAAGTGAAACACACCAAGAGGGATTTGGACTTACCCCAGTCATCCACAAATCCTCTACAATGAAAGACAAGGAAATGAAAACGGACTTTTTGCTTTCATCCAGGATTGTTAAAAGCCCCTCAGATTTCCCCAATGCACTCCATTATCCCACTTAATGGTAGCAGAAACACTAGGTCACAAAAAGTCCTATCACATAAAGTCCATTAAGAAACTATTTATCTGCCAAGCTAGTCTAAAAGCAAATTTCCAAATTTTTGTTTTTATGATTATGATTTCTTTACATGTTTTCTCTGTACCAAATGAATACATTAAAACATACTCTCAAGTAATTGGCTACAAAGGGCCTATATGCAAAATATAAATAAATTGCATACATGTACACACATACACACAAAAACAAACACAAAATAGGCTTGGGTTCCTTGCTTTACACCAGTAAAATTAATCTCAATAAGATTGCTGTTTGGCTAGCATACTAACATGAGGATATGTATTAAAGAGAAAAAATACAATAAAATTCCCTCTAACCATTCTTTTCACCATATGTAATAATAGTCTAGTTGCTGATCATGATTCACATACTAATTATGCAAATGTTTAATATTTTATATTAAAAATATTTCCAAAAATGGGCAAATAGCACATCACAAACTCTGTGTCAAATAAATTTAATTTATATATCCTTTGGTGATGGTGCATTTGTGTAGAGAACAAATTATAATTAGCAAACACTCAAGAAATGATTATCAGAGGCTGTCCATCTTTAAAAAGCAGCACATTAGAACTGATAGACTAAGATCAGAAAGGAGGAGGACCTTCTCTATCAGTGGACTTGGGGAGGGGCATGCATGCAGAAAGAGGGGGAGGGTGAGACTGGGAGGGGAGGAGGGAGGGGCTTATGGGGGGATACAAAATGAATAAAGTGTAATTAATAAAAGTTAAATAGGGCTGGAGAGATGGCTCTGTGGTTAAGAGCACTGGTCCTCTTTCAGAGGACCTGGGTTCAGTTCCCAGCACCCTCGTGGTGCCTCACAAGCATCCATAACTCCAAATTAAAACAAAAACCAGCAGTTATTTAAAAGTTAAATAAAAAATTTTAAAAAAAAGAAAAAAAAAGCAGCATGTTAAAGTGACATAGAAATAGGTAGTATCTACACAAACATATGAAAATGAGCCAAACGACAGAAAGGTGCCAGACACACAGTTTGAAGTAAAAGAACAATGGCTTTATCATTGTGCAGTCCTCTAACAGCTCAATATTTACAGGACTGTATGTACTAGAGAAAAGAAAAAAGAACAAATTAATAACTACTAATAAAACATTCATAATAAAGAAAATAACTTCTATCTATTAAATGTATGAAGTTTTAATGACTCACATGTAGGCATGCAGGAAGAACAATACATTATACATATATATACATATATAAACTTTTTTAAAAATAGTAGAAATAATTACTTAAACAAGGATCAGATTCTAAGTAATAACACGAAACTAAATGAAACAGGGGAAAAAAACATTCTTTTAAAAAGGCCTAAGTAAACCAGATACAGTAGCGCACACAGAAGCAGGTGGATCTCTGTGAGTTCGAGGCCAGCCTGGCCTACAATCCAAGTCCAGGACAGCTAAGGCTACACAGAAAAAAACAAAAATAGCAACAACAAACTGTCTAAGTAAAATATTTCAAAAAGGCCCAGTATCCCTGGGTACTACATTAAAAGTAGGAGTAATGAGTTTCAATGTTCTACTGTAGAGCAGCTGCAGAAAACAATAATTACTAAATGTTACAAAATTAAAACACAAGAAAAGATCATGAATGTTTTCACCAAAAAGAGGGCAATTGTTTGAGTCTGATTTGAACCTTATGCAATATATGTATGTATTAAGACATAACACAGTATCCATAAATGTGTAACATTATAGATTGGTTCCCAATTTCCTGCAGAACAGCCATATTGATTTTCAAAGCAGCTTTGTGGCACCAGCAATGGAGGAGTGTTCCCCTTGCTACACATCACTGTCAGCATGAGCGGTCACTTGTGTTTTTGATGTTAGATGTTCTGGCAGATGTAAGATAGAAGTGATCTACCTCAAGACCAGCTATACCAATCCTGGGCATATACTTAAAGGATGCCCCATCATACCACAAGGACACGTGCTCATCTATGTTCACAGCAGCTTTACTCATAGTCGCCAGAAAATGGAAACAACCTAGATGTCTATCAACTGAAAAAAGGATAAAGAAACTGTGGTACATTTATACAATGGAATACCACTGAGCTATTAAAAAGAAGGAAATCATGTTTGCAGGCAAATGGATGGAACTAGAAAAGACCATCCTGAGTGAGATAACCCAGACCCAGAAAGACATAGTACATGCTCACTTGTAAGCAGATATTAGATGTTGAGTAAAGGATAATTAAGCCACAGTCCACACACCCAGAAATGCTAAGTAACAAGAAGGGCTCAAGTGTTGAACCCATGGATTTCCCTGGTAAGGAGAAATAGATTCCATGGATGGACTGGTGATGGGTAAAATCAGTTGGGACATTATGATCCTTACAGGTTTATGATCCATAGACTGTAGAGGTTTTTGTTTTTTGTTTGTTTGTTTTGTTTGTGTGTGTGTGTGTGTGTTTGTTTAATAACAAAGAAAGAGTCCATTATTTTGAGATAGTACAAGGTAGATGGTACAGAAAGGGAGGAAAGGAGTTAAATGATATATTATAATTTCAAAATGTAAAAACTATGACTATATTAAAAGTTTATGCAGCTGGAGAGCTGGCTCTGTGGTTAAAAGCACTTAATGCTTTTAAGGACCTAGGTTTTGTTTCTAGCACCTCTGTGGCAGCTTACAGGTGTGTCTGACTCTAGTTCCAGAAATCTGGACAGCTCAGTGAACACTATATGCATGTGTTACACTAATTTAAATACAAGCAAAATACCTATCTACATAAAATAAAAATAAATCTTTAAAAGACAAATAAACACAAAAATAAAAGTAATCACACATAATTATGCAATTAATTATATAATTATGCAATTAATTAACTATGTAATGTGTAATAAAGTAATTAAGATTGAGTGCTTATAAATGAGATTTGTTTGTAGACCTTTGTAAAGAGCATCTTGCTTTTCTGTTAAGAGTTCCTGCATAGCTCCTACTGGGAATTCAAATCAGCTTTACAGATCAGTTCCAGGCCTAAGTATTACAAGTTCAAAGACCATTATTAGAATTTAACTCAATGATTAAGCTCTTCCTAACAAATAAACAGGGAATTAACTACCAAATAATTACTTCTTATCCCAATTTAACCACAACTCCTTCTGGTAGACCCACCAGTAAGTACTCCCACAGGAGAAGGGAGGACCTCTACAGAAGAAAAAAAAAAAAAAAAGGCGGGGGGGGGGCTCGGTAAAAGGTATTCAAGCCTTTTAAAGTTTCCTCAAGCAAAGGAGCCAGAGGTAGCAAAGCAACAGGGGCAGCAGTGCTGTCAAGAAAAGCAAGAAAGTATAGGACAAAGTCAAGACTATCACGTCCAGAAATATTTATGATCCTGCTTTGGTTTTATTTCATTTTAAAGGAAGAAAGTTAAAAGCACTGAGCCAAGTCTTCTGTTTTCTGAAAGTTATCCAATTAATTTGGTTTTGATAAAGTTAACTACTTCTTAATGTCTACTTCCTTAAATTTTTTTCTATTATTAAGCTGTGTATTCCTTTCCTAGTCATGTTCACATAGGAACCCTCGTTTTTCACTTCTCTCTTCTATCATTAGTTCCTCCTGCCTCCAGCCTCTGTTCAGGCTTCAACTTGCCTTGCTATCTTATTTTTCAGTCATCAAAGCCTGTTCTATATGCTAAGTCAACTTTAAATACTTATTTTTACAAATCTACCTAATTTATTTTTAAGTTGTTCAATTACTTCTCAAAACTTCTAAGAACATATTCTTGCCAACTACAATAGCTCTTACTATGGTATCTAATGTTCAATGTATTTGCCTCAATTTAAAACAAAACTACCTTTATTTACCATATGCATGCCTGCATAATATGAACACACTTGGAATGTAGAGGTAGAAATATCAAGGTTTCAGATTCTGCTTTAACAGTTTGTAAGACAACTGTGATAAGATTCTTCCATTTATATTCATCAGTCATCCCATCTAAAAAATGAAAATGAAACCTGACCTATCACTGTATTCTTGAATGAAAGCCATATTAGGAGTTAAAATTATATCAGAAACTAAGCATGAATATTAATGTTAAAGGATGAAATAATAAGTCTATCATGTTAAAATAAAGAACCTTAAAGGTAAGCAATATAAAATTTAAAAATGAGTATTAAAAAAGAGAGAGAGAATCATTGCCATCCTCTCTCTTCTCATAAACCTCCCTAAAATGCATTTTTAGTCTTTTACTCTGACATCACCAATACCTTGTAACACCCTCAAGAGTATGTTTCAAAATTCGTTAATTCAGACTACATTGAGAGCAGTAGGTATTTATATCAAAAATCCTTCAAAGGATTTTAAAAACAGATTCTGGTCATTTCTAGTCT